ATACAGTCAGAGACCGCTGACATGAGAGTACTAGAAACGTGGTCAGAGTGAAGCGCCAACATGATACGTGAAGCCGGAGATGGTCGGAGTCGGCCGACGTGAAGCCGAGATGGTCGGAGTCGGCCGACGTGAAGCCGGAGATGGCGGAGATGGTCGGAGTCGGCCGACGTGAAGCCGGAGATGGTCGGAGACGGCCGACGTGAAGCCGGAGATGGAGGAGTCGGCCGACGTGAAGCCGGAGATGGTCGACGTGAAGCCGGAGATGGTCGGAGACGGCCGACGTGAAGCCGGAGATGGTCGGAGACGGCCGACGTGAAGCCGGAGATGGTCGGAGTGACGGCCGACGTGAAGCCGGAGATGGTCGGAGACGGCCGACGTGAAGCCGGAGATGGTCGGAGACGGCCGACGTGAAGGTCGGAGATGAAGTCGGAGACGGCCGACGTGAAGCCGGAGATGGTCGGAGACGGCCGACGTGAAGCCGGAGATGGTCGGAGACGGCCGACGTGAAGCCGGAGATGGTCATGGTCGGAGACGGCCGACGTGAAGCCGGACATGAAGTGGTCGGAGACGGCCGACGTGAAGCCGGACATGGTCGGAGACGGCCGACGTGAAGCCGGAAATGGTCGGAGACCGCCGACATGATACCGGATACCATACACTGAATGATTTTATATACAATCGTATTGTCAATCAATTTACTCTCCAAAGGAAAAAATATGATTAGAACGATTGGAAGATTGAAAAGATTGTGTGGTGCACAATCTTCCATACACTTAGCGATCATATTGATCTGTCTTTATTCCTACAATCAGATTTTTCCGGTCAGAATAATTCCAACACAATGAATCCGTTTTGTTCGACAACGGTTTATTTCTGTTCAATAATTTATAGATTGGAACACATCATCTGAAGAATAGTTTGATCACATCGTTAGGTGTATGACTACCATTAGAAAACACATAGCAAGATGGGTCAGAGTAATACAAGTACTTGTCCCCTGGAGAACAAAGCACAATACATGTCGAAGTGAGAATTCTTATTCCATTAACATTCCCTCCATCCCTTTCTTTCTTTAAAGTGGAAATATACGTATCTTTTAGAAAATTGTGAACAGGTAGTTATGTCTCTTCTGCAGTAATACACACTTGCCTGCTTGCAGTCTTCTACCCAATATGTGCTGTGCGTGCGCAGCTCAGCATGCATTCCCAGCACACTTTGAATGTATCAGAATGATTGATTCCTGTGTGCATGTGCAGGATGAGGTCCTCCTACACCCAGGGAGAAGATGACAGTGACTGGAGGGGATGTTGCTGGAAGGTGTAGGTGATGACATTGGGGTGTTTAGTTTCAGCTTTAAGTTATGTTATTTGTTCTTTTCATTTTAAATGTTTGCTCTTTCCTTCGTTTTGTCTTTACTGTTTCTAATATACGGTCCCTTGATGCACAATTTTTACTCATCTACTCCAACTCTGACAACATTCTTAGCTATGCATAATATGGGGATGCAAAGTTTTTCTTTTTGTCTGTTTGAATTTATTTGGTTATGTCTGAAACTTGTTATGTGTATATTGTACCCTGTGTGGTACCTCTATTTACTTTATTCCAGGAGTTGACAATTTGCTTTGATTCTAGGAGCCAGCTAAAAAAGTTAGGAGCCAGGCTTTTTTTTTTGTTAGCATAGCGTTCCTATTGAGGTGGTTAACACAGATGTGATCCACATGCATAGTGTTTTGAGTTTCATTACGAAAAGGGTCTTGTGCGAGTTTGTAGCGGTGCGTTCCAGACAGTGATATTCTATTCTAGAATGGCTTGCGGAGATAAGTGTTCAAATTGGATTGCTATTGACAGGTGTTTGCATTGAAGTCAATGGGGGCGTTTTTGCACTGAATTTGAAGTCAATGGGGGGGGGGGACGTTTTTGCATTGAAGTCAATGGAGGGGGACATTTTGCATTGACAGCAATGGGGGGGGGCGTTTTTGCATTGAAGTCAAAGGGGTGGGCGTGTTTGCATTGAAGTCAAGGGGGGGAGGTATTCTTACATTGAAGTCAATGGGGGGGGGGCATTTTTGCATTGAAATCAATGGGGGGGGGGGGCGTTTTTGCATTGAAATCAATGGGGGGGGACGTTTTTGCATTGAAATCAATGGGGGGGGACGTTTGCATTGAAGTCAATGGGGGGGGGGGGGGGCGTTTTTGCATTGAAGTCAATGGGGGGGGGGGGGGGTTTTTTTGCATTGAAGTCAATGGGGGGGGGGCGTTTTTGCATTGAAGTCAATGGGGGGGGGGGGGGCGTTTTTGCATTGAAGTCAAGGGGGGGGGCGTTTTTGCATTGAAGTCAATGGGGGGGGGGGGGGGGCGTTTTTGCATTGAAGTCAATGGGGGGGGGCGTTTTTGCATTGAAGTCAAGGGGGGGGGGGCGTTTTTGCATTGAAGTCAATGGGGGGGGGGCGTTTTTTTTGCATTGAAGTCAATGGGGGGGGGGGGTTTTTTTGCATTGAAGTCAATGGGGGGGGGCGTTTTTGCATTGAAGTCAATGGGGGGGGGCGTTTTTGCATTGAAGTCAAGGGGGGGGTGCGTTTTTGCATTGAAGTCAATGGGGGGGGGGCGTTTTTGCATTGAAGTCAATGGGGGGGGGGCGTTTTTTTAGCATTGAAGTCAATGGGATGGGGGGGGGTGTTTTTTTTTTTGCATTGAAGTCAATGGGGGGGGCGGCATTTTTGCATTGAAGTCAGTGGGAGGTGATTTTGCGTGGGAGGCAGTCTGTGAACCCAGATGCCAGGACGCAATTTCTGGTCGCCATGGCAACCTGGTGCCTGAGATTTGTTGAGCCCTATATTATTCTATTGAATACTCTTTGTATGTACGTTCAAGACTCTTAAGTGATAGAGTGGCATGCAGAGGTAAGTGTTGACATAGGATTGCTATTGACTGGAGTTTTTGCATTAAAGTCAATGGGAGGCAATTTTTGCATTGGGGTCAATTGGGTCAATGGGAGGTAGTTGTGGAAAGAGAGCCAAAATCACCCCTGTACTGAAATATCACAGAAACTGGAATGACATTGCGATTTCAGTACACATATGTGTGAACCCAGGTGCCAGGACACAATTTGTAAGCCAACATGGTGACCTGTCACCTGGGATCTGTCGAGCCCTGCTTTACTATCATAGGAATAACAGAGTTATTGCTGATTCACTAGATCTATAACATGTGAAGATTGTTTTTGTGAATGGGAAGTATACAGGTGCAGAAGTTCAAATGGTTAATGATAATCTCATACTCTAACTTATTACTAATACATAAAGACAAGGTGTGGTACTGTATATATTAGTTATGTAATTGCTAGGAATCAAGAGAAAGAAATACTAGTATTCAAGCAATAATCTTTGAGAACAGTGACATTGATACACATCATCCTTCTCTCTTGACTGTTTTGTGTAATCTCAGTTATTCATCTAAAATTGTCGGAAACAGGATGACCGGTTAAACTGAACGGGAATGTCCACAACTTAATTTTAGATTGAAAACCCTCCCACAAGAATATGGAGGAAATGCGGGGACAGAGAGAGCAGATTACATTGCTTCTCCTACACAGACTGTTGAGCCTTGACACTTGGCCTACAAATGTCTCTCTATTACATTGAGATAAAGGACCTGTAATGTTCAGTTGTAGTTCTTGTGTCTAGAAGAGCAATATGTGGGAGTCTTGGTATGTATATCTTTTAAAGTGATTGTGAAGCTTTGTTTTTTATTTTTATTAAAAAAAAACAAACAAACATCAAACATGTCAGACTTATCGCTCTGTGCAATGGTTTTACACAGAGCAGCCCCGATCCTCCTCTTCCCAGGTCTTCTGCCGGTGCTCTGGGCTCCATCCCCCCCCTGAGTGCTTGCTCTGGGGGCACTCATACATGCTCACTCAAACCCCTGCTCTGTTTGTCTATAAGATGCACATAGTGGGGCTCGGCCTGTCCCCTGCTCTTCCTCACTGGCTCTGATTGACAGCACAGAGAGCCAATGGCTCCTGCTGCTGTATCTGAGCCAATGAGGAGCATGAGAGCCGAGGATCTCGTGCCCACCGCTGGATTGAGATCAGGCTCGGGTATGTATTTAGGGGGGCTGCGGTGGGAAGCTGCATGTAAAACAGTTTTTACCTTGCTGCATAGAATGCAGTAAGTTCTACAAAAAAAAAAACCTTCTGCCTTAACCCCTTCACGCCTAAGGGTAAAACAAATCTTTAGGGGCAGCACAGTGGCTAAATGGTTAGCACTTCCATCTTGGTTCAAACCCCAAGCACGGCACCACCTGCTTAGAGTGTGTATATGTATGTATGTATGTGTGTGTGTGTAAAAGTGCTGCGTAAATTGACAGCGCTATATAAGTACCTGTAATAAATAAAAATAAATAAATCTTAACGCCTAACAACAATTTTTGCAACTTTGACGTGTTAAAATCGTACATATCATCACAACTACTTTGTACATCCAGGTAGATTATGCCTTGTTTTTTTCAGGACTTATTGGTCTTTCGTTTGGTGGTAAATGGTATATAATTTTTTTTTTTTAATTATAACTAAAGGAATACTAGCCGAAAATAGTAAAAAAAAAAAACTTTTTTTTTTTAATTTAGCTGTGTGTTTCTTCTTACTACCATAACCTACCACCAAAGAACAACCCAAATTACATTTTCCAGCTCTTGATGATTGCAGTGATACCATATACCCAGTGATGGCGAACCTTTTTGAGCCCGAGTGCCCAAACTGCAACCCAAAACCAACTTATTTCTTTCAAAGTGCCAACACTGCAATGAAACCTGAATATCGAGCTTTTGGTTTAGAAAAAACAACTCATACAGTAGTGCAAACTAATTAACAGTACAGGGATGACCAGAGACTGCGGACACAGTACAGGGATGACCAGAGACTGCGGACACAGGGATGACAGAGGGATGCGGACCAGACAGGGATGACCAGAGACTGCGGACACAGTACAGGGATGACCAGAGACTGCGGACACAGTACAGGGATGACCAGAGACTGCGGACACAGTACAGGGATGACCAGAGACTGCGGACACAGTACAGGGATGACCAGAGACTGCGGACACAGTACAGGGATGACCAGAGACTGCGGACACAGTACAGGGATGACCAGAGACTGCGGACACAGTACAGGGATGACCAGAGACTGCAGACACAGTACAGGAGATGACCAGAGACTGCGGACAGTACAGGGGACAGTATGACCAGAGACTGCGGACAGTACAGGGGACAGAGACTGCGGACACAGTACAGGAGATGACCAGAGACTGCGGACAGTACAGGAGATGACCAGAGACTGCGGACACAGTACAGGGATGACCAGAGACTGCGGAAAGCACAGGGATGACCAGAGACTGCGGACAGTACAGATGACTGCTGACCTTTGGGGAGGGAGGGGGAGCGGGTACCTGAATTTGACAGGTACCCGCTCTTACTTCCGCAGAGTTTTTTTTTTTATCTTACCTGTTCCTTATCCAGCCGCGCGCTGTCTTCCCGGCTTCTGTAGTGTGGGTGCTCGTCGGACAGCCGGATGCCCAGTGCGCATGCGCGAGAAGCGCTGCGCTTTGTGATTGGTCCGGCGGCTTCTGGGATCTGTCATGTGTCCCAGGTACCGCCTTACCATTCACAAAGAGCACTGCTTCTTGCGCATGCGCACTTGGGACCCGGCTGTCACGCACACTACAGAAGCCGGGAAGACAGCGCGCCGCTGGATAGAGGGACAGGTACGGTCCCACTGCAGAGCTGAGCGGCCGGCCCGGTATTCTGACACGGCGGCGGTGGAAATACCGGACCGGCCGCTCTATATTCGCTCCATAAGACGCACTGACATTTTCCCCCCTTTTTTGGGGGAAAAAAAGTGCGTCTTATGGAGCAAAAAATACGGTATTCTCCTGGCGTGCCCACAGATAAGGCTCGGCGTGCCGGCTGTGGCACGCGTGCCACGGGTTCGCCATCACTGCCATATACAGTATATCACAGAAGTGAGTACACCCCTCACATTTTTGTAAATATTTTTTATTATATCTTTTCATGTGACAACACTGAAGAAATGATACTTTGCTACAATGTAAAGTAGTGAGTGTACAGCTTGTATAACAGTGTAAATTTGCTGTCCCCTCAAAATAACTCAACACACAGCCATTAATATCTAAACCGCTGGTAACAAAAGTGAGTACACCCCTAAGTAACAAGGCCCAAATTGGGCCCAATTAGCCATTTTCCCTATGTACATATGTATTGCTATGTGATGGTCTACATTCAAATAATAAAGTGATATTAAAGATATCTTGCAGTGCCTCTAAAGTCCGCAATTGGCCTTTTTCATTTTTCTTTGGTTCATTTTATTAAAGTTTTTCCTTTTTAGTTTCTTTCCCGAAATAAAGAAACAAAGTTTCTTTTAGCTCCGGGGAAAGTGACGCTAATTCTGTGAGCTATAGTGAAGAAAAGAAAAAGCCGGCAATTGCATTTAAAAATCGGCACCTACATATAGTGACAGCCAGTGAAGGACCCTCTCTGTATACAGTGCTATCTCACTGTATACACTGCTCCTCTCCTGCCCCCTCCTTGCACACACTGCCCCCCACCCCCTCCCTCCTACAAAGAGGACCTGTCACTCATATTCTATCACATAGGGTACTATTGGTCCCCTATGTGATAGCAATAAAATCATAAGTTGAAAAAAAAATATATATATTTATTATTTGAATCCCGGACAATTCTTCTGTAAGTTATGGCTGCAATCTTTCTTGGTCTACTTGACCTTGGCTTGGTATCGAGATCCCCGAACTTTCCACTTCTTAATAGGTGATTTAACAGTACTGATTGGCATATTCAAGGCTTTGGACATCTTTTTATATCCTTTTCCATCTTTACAAAGTTCCATTACCTTGTTACGCAGGACTTTTGACAGTTCTTTTCTGATCCCCAAAGCTCAGTATCTAGGCTAGTCAGTGCTTCCACGTAAGAGCTAACAAACTCGTTGACTATTTATACACTGACACTAATTGCAATTTAAAAAGTCACAGATGTGGGACATTAACCTCTAATTGGCATTTTAACCTGTGTGTGTCACCTTGTGTGTCTGTACCAAGGCCAAACATTCCAGGGTATGTAAACTTTTGATCATGGCCATTTGGGTGATTTCTGTTATTATGATTTAAAAAGGAGCCAAACAACTATTTGATAATAAATGGCTTCATATGGTCATCATCCTTCAATAAAAGTGCATTTTTGTGGCATGATCAGTAATATTTTCAATATCAATGCCAAAATTTCACAATTTCTGCCAGGGTATGCAAACTTTTGAGCACAACTGTGTGTGTGTGTGTTTATGTATGTATGTATGTGTGTATGTATATATATATATATATATATATATATATATATATATATATATATATATATATATATATATATATGAAAGTAGAGAGAAATACAAAAAAAATATTGGAGCCTCCCAACCCCCACATATGCAGATATTTTGGTTCAGTTTTCGGCCACATGCATTCTGAATTTTCAGTATCGGTTTCGGCACCAGAATCTTAATTTCAGTGCACCACTAATAATCATCTTACTTTTGAGCTGGAATGGGACATGTAGAAAACCCTTTCTTTGAAATTTCTACTCTTATGCAGTTCTCATGAACTAACTGCTATCCACACATGTATAAGATTTTGTTATCCTCATTTGTCCTCTTCTACTCATCAGAATGTCTTGGGTGAGGAAGCATGAACAAGAAAGCTTTGGTGATGGGTCAGATGGTTCAGCCTTCAGAATATGTCAATATGCCAAGAAGTCTAGCAGGAAAATCCATGCATTTAGATTCTCAAGCCCTCTCTTATTCTGTGGCCATTATGAGGGGGTAGTACATCTCTGCCAATCTCCCACTTTATGGCACCAATGATTTAGTTTTTATGTTGTCAAACGTAATAAAGGATATTGTATTGTTCATTCCTGTTTGATCTGTGTTTTATTTTTTTTTTTTTTTTTCTTCATGCAGATATTGTAAAAGGTTAGCAGGCTCCTGACTCCTGCTAACTAGGACTGATCTTCCTCTTGTACCTTCCCACCACGGCGGCACGCGTGAAGCCCACTGTGTGCAGAGTCATTGTCTACCTGCAGCGAGAGATGTCTGGTGACACTTGTCTGACGGCGATGTGCCCTGCTTCTGGGGCCAAGCCAAAAAACATATAGTTTTAAAGGGGGCTGTCTGGGAAACAAATATGTCCGGCTGAATGTGGGCGGTTCATTGCACTACACCACAGTGCAGGTCCTGACAAGACATGACACCATGCTTAAGGCGATGTTCAGTGGTCGTATGGAGGTCCTCACTGATAAAGAAGGTGAGAATGCTGTGCTCTCTAGAAATGTTAGAATAGTATAAGTAATCTGGGAATATTTGTATCTGTTTTCAGGTGGGATGGTAGAATCCGCTTATTCTGTGTCATAACTTTCCACTCTGTGGCTGCGACAAATACCCTAATAAATTCTTCTGGACTTTTTTGGTAAAGTGACGTGCATGTTGGGAAATGTGGTTATTATTACTCTTTTATATATAGGGTTTTACAGTATACAATTTCACGGTGCAAAGTCCCAGCTTGTCAGTGCTATATTAATTTTAAAAACTGTCAGTAAATATACATTAACAAAGAGGTTATATTACGGGTTTGCACATTGCATCCATGAAAGGGGAACAGAGTTGCTTTAAAGCCCAGTTTTGGTAAAAAAAAAAATCCCTTAACCACTTCCTTCCTTCCTTCCTTCCACCTTGTTGAACTGGTTTTACCGGGATGATGCCTGTAGCTACAGGCATCTTCCTGGTATTTTTGTTTTCAGCTGGCTATTCCCTTTATTGTAAAAGCCATCCTAGTGGCCAATTAGCTGCTGGATTGTTTTTTCAGATTTCGGGAGGGGTCTGATAGTCTCCAGTCACCTCTATGGTTTAAGAAACCAGAAGCTGCCAGTATTCTGTCACTTCCAGTTCCTATCTTTTGTTTACAAGTCTATTACTAGCTTGTACAAGTATCAGATCAGACTGATCTTGGTCTGATCTAATGTTGTTAAGGGCAGAGAGGCAGCTGGGATCTAATAGACCCCAGATGTATTTGTAAAGAGGACCTATCACTGCCGGGATGTTTACATTTCTTGTGACAGCAATAAAAGTCATTTTAAAAAGTGTAAAAAAATAGTGTAAAAAAATCAAATTAATAATACCATTTTTTTTTTTTTTTTAAAGCATCCCATCTTCCCATGCTTGCGCACATTGGCAAATTCATGCATCCTTCCCACGTTCAAACGTAAACTGCGATCTCACCACATGTGTGAAGTATCATGGCGAACGTCAGAGCGAGAGCTATAATTCTAGTTCCAGGCCTGATTACCTATAAACTGGAAACCTGTAAAGGCATTTAAAGAGCCACCTATAGATATTTTTAAGTACCGCATTTTGGTGTCGTTCCATGGGCGTACGCAATTTTAAAGCATAACATGTTGGGTATCTATTTACTCAGTGTAACATCGTCTTTTATATTTTATCCAAAAATGGGAATGGTATTGTTTGTGTGCACTAAAATTCATTAAAGTGTATTTTTTCCCAAAAGTTTGCGTTTAAAAAACCGGTACGCAAATACTGTGTGACATACAAAATTGCAACACTCGCCATTTTATTCTCTAGGGCCACTGCTTAAAACCTATATAATGATGATTTTTACATGTAGGAGAGAAGTGTCAGAATAGACTTTGGAAGCAAGTAATTAAGGCAATTTAAACATTCCCTGGATCAACAATCTACAAAGTTAGTACGTATAAATAATAGCCTAGAAACACATCCACATCTACAGAGTTGGCTAAAGCTAGCTCAATGTGAAGTCTGTTCCACCCTGATCTTTCTTCATCCATAAGCTTCTCTTCCATATCTAAAACTCCCACCTTACCGAATGTGTTTTGTTAAATAAATATAATTATTACCCCCCTTCACTTTTTCTCTCTTCACATATTCTAATGCTCCCCTCCATGTAAACCCACACTGCCGTTTTGAATATAGAACTCTTCGATTGTCAGCTCCTTTTTCTGTGTTTCCTGTCCTGCCTACTTATGACATATAGTGGGTATAGAAAAGAATCTCCCCTCCTTTAAAATAATCACATTTTGTTGCTTTGCAGCCTGAAATTAAGACACACAGTTTTTGTTTTATTCAGCTCTATTTACTCACATCCAAGTGATAGATATAACACCAGCATTTTAGAAAAAAAAATAAAACAAATCCAAAGAGAGAATCACTGTCAGATGGATACAAAAACATTTCAAAGGCTTTATCAATTCCTAGAAGCACAGTTTAATATAAAGTAGAAGGTATTTGGTACAACACAGACCCTCCCTGGATCAGGACGTCACTCCAAACTGGATGAAAGAGTCAGGAGGAAACTGGTCAGAGAGGCTATCTAGAGGCCTGTAGCAACTCTGAAACAGTTGCTGGAATTTATGACAAAGAATGGTCATTGTATGCAAGTGGCAACACTATCACAAATTTCCCCATAAATGTGGCTTGTATGGGAGGGCTGCAAGAAAAAAGCCACTCCTCAAGAAAGGCCACATGCAGTCAAGGCTGAGCTTTGCCAAAATGCACCTTGAAGATTCTGAGGCCACATGGAAAAAAGGTGTTCTGGTCAAATTAGACTAAAATTGAATTATTTAGCCTCAACACTAAACGATATGTCTGGCGGAAATCCAGTACAGCTCACCATCCAAATATAACCTTTCCCACAGTAAAGCATGGAGGTGGTAATATCCTGTTATGGGGGTGTTCCTCTGTAGCAGGGACAGGAGCACTTGTCAGGATAGAATTAAAAATGGGGCAAAGTACCATCAAAGTCTTGAGGAAAATCATCTGCACTCTGCCAGAAAGTTGTCAGTGGGAAGAAGGTTTACCTTCTAACATGAAAATGACCCAATGCACACAGCAAAAATGATCACGCAGTGGTTTAAGAAGAAAAAGGTGAATGTCCTTGCATGGCCTAGTCAGAGCCCAGTCTTAAACCTCATGGGTGTTCAACCTCCAACTGTTGCGGAACTACAAGTCTCATGAGGCTTTGCAAGGCTGACAGTTATAGGCATAACTTCCAAATGCAGAAGCATGATGGAACTTGTAGTTCCGCGACAGCTCGAGGGCCACAGGTTGAGCACCCATGGCCTAAAAAACAAGGAAGCACATTACATTTAAAAAGTATGCTTATTTATTAATCTTTTTTTATTTGGATTTCTTTGAACGGGTTTTATTGATGTGCATGTAAAGGTATATGTACCTGTGTGTGTGCATGCGTGTGTGTAATCTAGCAGCTGAAAGATCTTTTATGTGTGTGGGAAAGGGGGGGGGGGGTGATCTGGCAGACATCCTTCAGCCTACACCACTATCAGAAAAACATACAAAAAATACCTCTTTGGAAGTGATCGTACAATAATCTTATCGTTCAATTATTTGAAAGAATAAGCACATCATTTTTTCTCGTACGATATCAGACCATGAGATTTTCATTTAATCAGTATAGTTTTCGTCTGAAAATGCAATACAAATACATTTCATCGCTTCCAAATTTCCTTTCTGTTATACAAGAATTTTTGTAACTTTAATAACCTCTTCACTTTCAATATGAGACTAGCATGAAAAAAAAAAAAACAAAAAAAACATATGATCATTTGTCCAATATTTTCATCGTGTGTATGGGTCTTTAGTGTTGGCTTAATCCTCGGAGAAATCGTAATCAGTCTGAAAATTAAGTTTATTCTCTATTTTCTGGCTTTGTGCAAAAAATCTGAGCCATTAAAAGCCGATGTTCTGCCAGCCTTAAGATGTGCTGCTGTTCAGGGGCTCTGGGCTTCAGCAAAATGGCAGCCTCCAGCACGAAGAGACAGGAACAATGCTGGAGGCAATTTACAGCACCAGGGAATTTTAGTAGCATAATTAATAATGTGGAATGTGTTTTTCTTCCAAAAGAACATTATTTTTATCCATTTGTAATGGATAAAGTTCCACTATAAGAATTGCTGCCTGGGCCACCAGATTTTCATTGGGTGGGTTTGTATGTATTTTTTTTTTTAAAAGGTATTTTATCGCCATATATTGCAGGTAGAATATTGTAAATCGAACTAATCACATTTTGCTATGTAGCCTGACAGTGACCATTTGTTATTATTATTATTTGTTCGCAATTTCCCTTCTTTTAAAACTAAAGGGCTGTTTTTTTTTTCATCATAGTGTTTTTGATTTTGTTATAATCCACAAAATGTGTAAAATCACATTGAGACTTGAATTTTAAGGCTAATTTTTAAAATTTGGGCTGCATTGTGAAACCTGTGTTGCCACATGAAGTTGTCTCTACTTAACGCAGCAGAGAGAGTTTATGATAGGAGAGGAGCCAGTCATATGACTTTTAGTATACAAAGTGCAACAAAAAAGAACTTTAGGCTATAGCTCTCTTAAAAAAAAAAATTAAACATTTTTTTAGAATTGTATGGGACAGCATTCCTCTCATCTGCTTGAAAATAGAGGGTACCTCAGTCCTACTAATGTTCAAGCACAGTAGTGTTCAATAACCTCCTTTACATCTGTATGGTAGTGCTGTGTTAACAAATGTCACCATCAGGTGGTACTGCAGGAGAATTATGAAAGCTGGTTGGGTCGGGAAGGTGGGATAGTGGTGGTTAGAGATTACCCTCTGTGTGTTGTTTCAAAGAATAGTCAAGAAAATGGTGGCTATTAATTAGATTTTTTTTTTTTTAAAAAAGAAAACGTGTGCTTAAAATCTAAGGTTTGGATTTCACAGGGATTTATTAGCACACGTTGAAGCAAATAGGTAAAACAAAATGTCACATTAGCACATATGGTGTGACGGTTCCTAGGAACAGTCAATTCTACTACCCTTTTGGGAGTTTTGTGGCACTCCTCTCCACTCCTGCTTCTGATTATTGGATTACATCATTGGTGTAATCAGCGATCGATGGTATCATGGGATGGCATGCACCTCCCCTAATACTGTGGCTGTCTACTGTAGAGTGATTAATGGAAACAAAATGAACCTAGGCAAAAAGCCAGCTGCACTATTCCCACTGTCTCCTCACATCAATTATGTCTTTTGATGCAGTAGGTGATACAATCTGATTTTTGTAGTGGCAACTACTTCTCTGGTAATCTGAAATTCATACTAAGAATTGTTTTATTACTTTGGTTTCTAGCAAATTAATCAATATTTAGTCACCTAACTAAATATCTTTTTTAATGATTTTTCTACCCAGGTATGTCAGTAGAAGTGGGCAGATCAATTCCCCAACTAGTTTCTTCAATCTTTTGCAGAACTCTGTATACAGGTTCACAGTGCTAGCAGCTTGAAGAGACCAGTCTTTTTGCTGAATTAGTTTGCAGTACAGAGAATGCAGTATGATAACTGTCATAAAAATAAAAAGGACAGCAGGGACCTACAGTGGGGAGGTTTTGAAGTTGTAAGATACCAGTGGGTGATTCAGCTAAACACCCTCCATCCATAACTGAAAGATCAGTTTTGGGTGCACTGAACTTTTGTGTTTGCATTTTCCTTGCCTAAACAACTACCACGACTGTTTGTTTTTTTCCCCGCAGGCTGGATTCTAATTGACCGATGTGGAAAGCATTTTGGAACCATTCTGAACTATCTTCGAGATGACACCATTGCACTTCCCAAGAACAGACATGAAATCAAGGAACTAATGGCAGAAGCTAAATATTACCTTATTCAGGGGTTGGTAGACAAGTGCCAGGCAGCGCTTCAGGTTAGTAATTCCATTTGATTTGCTTATGCCTACTGCTCCTTGTTTGTTAACCACTTGCCCTCCAGAGGATTTACCCTCCTTAATGACCAGGCCTCTTTTTGCTACTCTGTGCTGCACTAATTCAACTGATAATTTCACAGTCATGCAATGCTGTACCCAAACAAAATTTACTTCCTTTTTTTTCACACAAATAGAGCTTTCTTTTGGTGGTATTTGATCACCTGTGTGCTTTTTATTTTTTGCGCTATAAACGAAAAAAGACCGAAAATTTTGAAGAAAAATATTTTTTACGTTCAGCTATAAAAAATATATAGTAAACTCAAAGTTAGTTATAAATTTAGGCCAAAATGTATTCTGCTACGTGTTTTTGTTAAAAATCCAAATAAGTGTATATTGATTGCTTTCTGTAAAAGTTATAGTGTCTACAAACTATGGTATAGATACTGCAATTTATGCCTTTTTTTTTGCTATACAGCGCTGCACTAGTTTAATTAACAATTGCGCAGTCATGCAATTCTGTACATAAATTCAATTTATGTCCTTTATTTCACACAAAGAGAGCTTTCTTTTGGTGGTATTTATCACCTGTGCACTTTTATTTTTGGTGCTATAAACAAAAAAGTTTTGAAAAAAAAAACTTTTTTTAAACGATATTTTCTCATTTCTGTCATAAAAAAATCCAAAAAAAAACTAAAATTGTGTCATAAATTTAGGCTAAAATGTATTCTACGTGTTTTTGGTTAAAAAATCCCAATAAGTGTATATTGATTGCTTTGTGTGAAAGATATAGCATCTACAAACTATGATATACAGTCAGGTCCATAAATATTGGGACATCGACACAATTCTAACATTTTTGGCTCTATACACCACCACAATGGATTTGAAATGAAACGAACAAGATGTGCTTTAACTGCAGACTGTCAGCTTTAATTTGAGGTTATTTACATCCAAATCAGGTGAACGGTGTAGGAATTACAACAGTTTGCATATGTGCCTCCCACTTGTTAAGGGACCAAAAGTAATGGGACAATTGGCTTCTCAGCTGTTCCATGGCCAGGTGTGTGTTATTCCCTCATTATCCCAATTACAATGAGCAGATAAAAGGTCCAGAGTTCATTTCAAGTGTGCTATTTGCATTTGGAATCTGTTGCTGTCAACTCTCAAGATGAGATCCAAAGAGCTGTCACTATCAGTGAAGCAAGTCATCATTAGGCTGAAAAAACAAAACAAACCCATCAGAGAGATAGCAAAAACATCAGGAGAGACCAAAACAATGATTTGGAACATTCTTAAAAAGAAGGAACGCACTGGTGAGCTCAACAACACCAAAAGACCCCGGAAGACCACGGAAAAAAACTGTGGTTGATGACCGAAGAATTCTTCCCCTGGTGAAGAAAACACCCTTCACAACAGTTGGCCAGATCAAGAACACTCTCCAGGTGGTAGGTGTATGTGTGTCAAAGTCAACAATCATGAGAAGACTTCACCAGAGTGAATACAGAGGGTTCACCACAAGATGTAAACCATTGGTGAGCCTCAAAAACAGGAAGGCCAGATTAGAGTTTGCCAAACGACATCTAAAAAAGCCTACACAGTTCTGGAACAACATCCTATGGACAGATGAGACCAAGATCAACTTGTACCAGAGTGATGGGAAGAGAAGAGTATGGAGAAGGAAAGGAACTGCTCATGATCCTAAGCATACCACCTCATCAGTGAAGCATGGTGGTGGTAGTGTCATGGCATGGGCATGTATGGCTGGCAATGGAACTGGTTCTCTTGTATTTATTGATGATGTGACTGCTGACAAAAGCAGCAGGATGAATTCTGAAGTGTTTCGGGCAATATTATCTGCTCATATTCAGCCAAATGCTTCAGAACTCATTGGACGCCGCTTCACAGTTGCAGATGGACAATGACCCAAAGCATACTGCAAAAGCAACCAAAGAGTTTTTTAAGGGAAAGTAGTGGAATGTTATGCAATGGTCAAGTCAATCACCTGACCTGAATCTGATTGAGCATGCATTTCACTAGCTTCCGATTTCTTACTATAGAGATGATTGGCACCATACCGGTCTCCAATCAGCTCTATGGTCAGCTGGCAGAAACACCATCTGCATTCTCAGGTTCCTCCGACAGCACAGGACTGCTTGAGAAGGCTGTGGAAGGCAGCAGGGAAGGGGGGGGGGGTCATCATCTCTCTCTGTTTGTAAAAGCAATCCTGCAGCTAATTAGCCACTAGGACTGCTTTTACATGAAAGCTGATCGCCGGCTGAAAAAACGACACCAGAATGATGCCTGCAGCTGTAGGCATCATCCTGGTATAACCATTCAAAGTCCAGCGATGTACCAGTATGTCGCTGGTCCTTGTTGTATATATTTGCTTTTTTTTTTTTTTTTTTTTTGTATGCAGCCTGTGGGCTGAATGAGAAAAAGAGAAAAAAATCTCTGCCAGAAGAATGGTGGGCCCATTCTCTGCCTTTTGATGGTGGGCCCACATTAGGTCGCACGGTGCCACATGCGCCTGTTCCAAGATTGTACAAATGTCTAAATAGTGGCACGCTTGAATAAAAATTGTCCACGTATAAGTGGTACCCCATATGGAAAAAAGATGACACCTAGTCCCAAACTATCTTGCCACTACTCCCCATGTAGTCTGGGCATCCGTGGGCTCCACGTGACTATCTTTACCCTCATAAATCTGAAACGTATATGTATAGCCTGCTGTCCTCTCACAGGTCTTATACATCTTGACCCCATATCTGGCACACTTGCTGGGGAGAAATTGTTTGAATGCAAGGCGGCCAGAAAAATTAATGAGGGACTAATCAACACAGATTTTTTGATGGGGAGTATAGACATCTGCAAATTTTTGGTTAAGGTGATTTACAAGGGCTGAATTTTGTGAAGCCGATGAAATTCAGGGTCACCTCGAGGACGACAGAGTGTATTGTCTTTGAAATGCATAAAACACATTATACTCTCATATCTATGCCTGGCCATGGCAGCAGAGAACACGGCATATGATGAATCGGGTCTGTGCACCAATACAACCGCAATCCATTTTTGTTTAGTAATGCCCATGTTGAGGGTTAAGCCCCAAAAAAATGTACTTGCTGGGGGAAAGGGGAGGGGGGTAAGTGTAGGGGCTAAACGCAGGTGCTGGCAAGTGCTGGGGCTGATCCCACTAACGCTGCGTTTTTGGGGATGCTATACTAATGGGAATGCTGATATAGTGCTGATCTGATCAAAGATATTGATCCGTTCAGACACTATACTAGCAATGGAGGTTTATTATGTATGAGCGTGTTCCTGGCAATCAAGGGGTTAAAAATGTGATTACTGGTGTACTGAGGGCAATCTGACGCTATCTGGGAGGGAAGTGAAAACCATGGGAGCACGAATCACGCATATATATGTGATTTTGCGTACCCGAGCCACCCTGTAGCAGTATTTCTGCTATAGGGCAGTCAGGAAGCGGTTACAGAAGCGGTTTTTGTGTGACGGCGCTGCGTTCCTTTAACTGACAATTGCGTGGTCATGCAACGCTGCACCAAAATTAAATTTACGTTCTTTTTTTCCCATGAATTGAGCTTTCTTTCGGCGGTATTTGATCGCCTGTGCGTTTTTTTACTTTTTACGCTATAAAAAAAAGACCAATTTTGAGAAAAAAACAGTATTTTGGACTTTTTGCTATAAAACATGTCCAGTAAAAAAAGTAAAATGGCGGTATATATACTGGAATTTTTGGGGTTTTTACATCTCTCTCTCTCTATTATTAATAATGGTGGCGATCAACGACTTATGCCGGGACTGAGGCGGACATTCTGACACTGGGGGGAACTGACTTGGGTCACTGACATCCCCAGTGACACCAATACAGTGATCATTGCAAAAAAAAAAAAAACACCCTGAGATTGTACTAATGGCATTGGGGAGGAAGGGGTTAACAAAAGGCAATCAAAGGGTTAACTGTGTGATGGGAGTGTTTCACTAGGGGGCGGGGGGTGTGCTTCACTGTAAGCACACTGATCCGGAAGGCTGAGCTCAGCCATCCGGACCACTGTGCTCAAACTGACAGGGAGGAGAGCTGCATTGAATAGAATGCAGCCCTCCTCCCTGTCAGTGTTTGACGGTAATCGCCAGGCTCTGGTGGGTAATCACAAGTAGGGACCCGGTGATTGACACCCGCAGCCGCGATCGGCGGCGAGGGTAGGTGGTCATGCGCCTCACGCAGAGCTCCCTACCCAAAATGAAAATTCACATATATATAGGTGATTTTGCGCAGCGGTGCTGATCTGCCGCAGTATATCTACTGTGGCTGGTCGGCAAGCGGTTAAAGTAGAAAGTCATCTAAATAAGAAGAAAACACCCATGAATTCAGTTATATATTATATATTAAAACTAAAAATACTTATCTGCTGCACAAAGTTTCTGGGGATTTCCCTCTTAGGTGCAGGATCAGATGGGAAGAAGATCTAGGAACATTTCTGGAGAAATTTTGGAAAAGTTCTTCAGGGTCTCACCACAGTCTCAAAGTCTCCCTCTCATAGCTTGGCAAAATTTGTTATTTATCACCGGGCCTACTGAACCCCAGCAAAAGTGGGGCTTCACTAGGAGACCTGGTACATCTTCTTTGGTGGTGCCCATAATTAGTAAGATACTGGGATGCAGTGATCCTCAAAAGAATGAAGTATACGTACTTCCATTTGCATTCCCTCCCTTATCCCTATTTTTAATGTTGATGCTTTCACCTCTACTGTGATGTAAGCAGCACGTAGAGCTATTGTTCTTAGATGGGTTGCCAATGTCCTCCTACGTGCAGCTGGATTCCTGAACTTAAATAATCAGCATTTGAACGAATCACATATGAACATTGGGACTACCTTAAAAAAATGTCATCTAGTTTGGAAGCGCTGGCAATAACATACACATAATGTGTGACAATGGATGTATATGAAAGGTGTGTTTAAGCCTTCTATGTGCTAGTTGTAAAA